GTGTTCCATATACTTTCCACACGTCAGAGAATTTGGGAGTAGATTCGAGAGGTGAAGGCATACCTTTGGTAAGAGCACCGACAATGAAGAGAAAGACAGTGAGAAGCGATTTGCTGGTAATAGCAGTTGGACGCCGGCTAAGTATGTCTGCATAGTATGTTCCAACTAAAGCACAACAGAGGCACCAAGCATTGAGGATTATATTCTGCTACGGGTCAATGCTCATTATTTAAATTAGAAGGCTAGGAATCTCACAATTCGAAGTTGCGTGGTGGTGTCAGTAATGCCAGCATTGTCAAGCATTGTTCCCAAGTAGTAACTTGCGATTACGTTTCCTATCAAAATCAGTACCATATATAACGACGCAATCAATTACTTACCTGAAATGGTTGAGATTACCGCAGCTGAGATCGCCAGGGAGACTCTTTTTCTTGCTACCGGTGTCTTGACCATCTGCTTTAGACTCAAGGTCTCGCCAACATTCCTCTCATATTCTATCGTGTCAATAATCTCCTTGTATTGCGCAGTTGCAATGTGATTTGAGGTATCTCCATTTGCATAAGTCTAGGCTATAACGATCAACGCCTCTTCTGTACGCCCATGATAGGCTAGCCATTGAGGTTATTCTAGCACAAATGGCAAAATGGCAATGCAAAGAATACTAAAAATTCCTTGGACTAATGAAGGGACTCTCCATGCCCAGGTCGAGTCGTAAGTAGCCGTCCGATACGTCACACCAGCTGCAATCAGTCCTCCTGCTGTTTGTTAGATGGTTGGTTCAACAGTTGACAATCAAAGCTCGTACCAACATAGTAACAATCATTCAGCACTCCCAGTCCCCAAGCTCTTCAATTATAGGGAAGTGTCTCAGCGACATACGTCGGCCCCGTAAGAGTCGACGCCGAAGTCCCATACCCGACTAGAATCCTAGCTATTACAAACATGGCAGTATTCTGCCCGGCTGTCTGAAGAATGACTGACAAGAATGTTGCAACGGCCGCCCAGAACAATGCATATCTGCGTCCGATGATATGGGTTACTTGTCCATAAGTCAAACTAGCAACAGCGCCACCAACACAGAGCGCAGCTGTGTTCAGAGAAATAGTTGCGGTGTTCAGCCTGAAATAATTTGTGCAGCTGGGAAGTATGTTGAGTCCGTTCCTATATTTTTGTGAATATCAAAGCATGAGCAACGAAGAAACGTGAATTTATCGGGGAGACTAACACCATAGATCCATCGTAGCCAAAGGTAGTTGACGTGATACACAAACATAGGACTAAGAGAACTGATACTACTCATGACGAGCCCGAAACTCTTAGGCGGGTTATTCGCGCAAGCATTGTCTCGGCCATTGCAGATTCAGAATCTATAACATGAGACGAACATTATTTCAACCGGTGAACTTCAGTGAACCGCGAGAATACGTATTTCGATGCTGCTGCAAAAATGTTGCCTACGCCTTTTGAATAAAGCATAAGAATAGTCCATCTTTATGTTTCTTATCTCAGCAAGGAACTAGGTGATGGGAAAATCTTGAGCCTGGGGAGTCAAGTCGCCTTATCTCACTGCATGTGGAGAGATAGCTCCAATGCATATGCAAGAAATATCGAAGCCATCAAAGCTTGTCAAGGCTTGTTCGACTTGACCGGCTGCTTCAATCCTAGATAACAACCTTCCTTTCCCGTATCTAGGCATGAATTATGGCGGTAACATTTTTGGGGTCTCTCACTCATACCCACCCATGATTTCTTGTATTGACTGATGTTGGCTCACCAGCTGTGGCCATGACTCGAGCGACCCGAGAATATACTGTGGAGTTCTTTTCTTATCGCAGACCCCAGCTTTTAAGTGAAGAGATGATGGCAACAAAAGCACGTGATATAGATCTACATCTCGTCTCGATTGGGCAGGTGTGACGAAGAGGGGTAAAAGTTCCTACTCTGGTGTTGTAAAGATTACATATGAGCATAATCGCTTCTCAAAATCCTTCAACTTCACGCTTATTTCGTCTGATTTCTCTATTACAGACGTAAACTTCGCGATGCATCTCCCCTTCTTATTGATTTTTATATCTCAAACTGTCGCTTTCAATGCCCCATCCGATGTCCCAACTTGGTGCGGAAAGCTATACATGAGCACGTGAGTAGTGATAGTATTTCGGGTCGCCTATTTTCTGACATTTAATAGAAACCACTCGTTAGATCCAGAAGGGCAATTCAAATTCCCAGAACCTCAGTATGATCCGCTACTCTATGTAACGATACAACCTCGATACTCAATTTTCCTTGAGAGTGACGATGAAGGAACTCTCATTATTGATGCCAGTATATCTCATGTCTTTGGTGGATCATATACAAATGCCACCTTTAATACACCTGGAAGTAATATTAGCTCCCCGTTCACAACGCTCGATATTGAAATTTACAACGAAGAGTCAGGTGACTTGCTTGTCACCAATAAGGTCCCTGTGAATTCAACTGGAAACCTAATTGAATTTTCTTTTTCTTCATTTGCCGCACGATTACAGCCTTATGAAGTCTCGATCTACGCTACTTCCCCTGACGGTCAACAAACTTACACTGCAAGCACTAGTGTCTATGTATTACCATCACGTGCATATGGTAGTGCTGTGAAAATCGATAATCTATATGGAGGACTCTATGTTCAAAATGACAAAAATGATTGGGATGGCTGGTATACGATCTTTCCAAATGGATATTACGCCGACGGTTCTTACGTAACACCCGACAACGTCTCGCTGGCCAATCTTGAGGCATATGCAGCTCTCGGGTTTAACACCATAAATATCGTTCCAGACGGTGGCCTTCCAGATCAATCTTATCCCACTGCACAACTCATGGAGTATTGGGATAAAATGGACGAGCTAAACCTTTTTAATCTCTACGATATGCGATTTGCATTTCAAAACTCAACGCGCATTGCGGACCAAGTAGCTCTCTGGCAAAACAGAACTACTCTCCTCTCCTGGTATACTGCTGATGAACCAGATGGATGGGCATATCCTCTGAACTCTACACAACTTGCTTATTCGCAACTTAAATCGCTAGACCCATACCATCCCGTCAGTCTCGTTCTCAATTGCCAGAACTTCTACTACCCCGAGTATTCAGCTGGTGCGGATATAATATTTCAAGACGCCTATCCGGTCGCGATAAACGCCACTTGGTCCGTTCCGTGGGGAACTCCTTGCAATGAAACCTATGGCGACTGTGGATGCGACAATTGTGTTGGAGAGTTAGAAGATGTAGCGACTCGACTTGATGATATTCAAAATTACCAAGCAAGCATAGGACCAGGTAGTCAAGGAGGCTTAAATAAACCCACATGGTCAGTAGTCCAAGCATTTGGCGAATCGCAGTATTGGCAAAGTATACCGAGTGCAGCAGAAGTAGAAGTAATGATGGCGTTGAGTGTGAATCATGATGCGAAGGGAATCACATATTGGCTTTATCCAAGTACAGATTCTGCCAACGCTGGGAGTGCAAATTTGGGCAAGGTGTTGCAGAATTCACCTGCGATTGATTTCTTGTTTGGGACAAACGCAATCAAAGGACTGGGAAGTGGGTTGTTAGACGTAAGTGCGTGGATTGTAGGAGAGCAGATGATGGTCGGTATCGTTAATGGAGAGTACGTTGGATCCGTAGATGAAATCACGATAAGTTTGCCGGGAAGCGTGGTATCCTTAAATCAGACTTTGTATGGTGATTCGGGTTGGACCGTTAGGGATGGGAAATTGTCGAAACCAGCTCTGGTCGGGTTGGAAGTAGACATTCTGGTGGTAAATCTTAGTTAGTGCCCCAAAATCCAATGCGTTCATCCACAATCCAAAACCTTCACATCTAACTTTATTGTAGAATCCATCAATACTTTCTTCGAAAATGATAGTGAGGGTATCCTTAGAGATGAGCTATAAATTAGACCAGATTGACTTCATCGGTATATCGGTAGCGTTACCGAATTGTATGTTTTGACGGCTTGTACCTTTATCCTCCACCAAAGTAGACTGGTTTAGGGTGGCGTACGACTATTAACAAGTATCACTGCCGATTTTCGATACAAGTAGTTTGAAATCAAGCAAGAAAAGTAAGAAGAGCGATGGGATTTTTTCATCGAAATCTGGGGCACTGCTCTATATCGTAGTCGAAGATGTATGCTAACGGGTGGATCAAAAGCGGTCTTTATCGGCATGTGAACGGCCCGTTTCGATCGGCACTTGAGGAAAATACTTTAATTTAATTCTCCGTTACATCGTGTCGGCGAATTCTGGGGTGGATGTGACTGTTACTCTCCCTTTGGGCATTGAGACGCGGATCGACGGAGTTTCGGAGTCCACGCCATGCCCACTCCTCCCCCCCCACTCATCCCCCACTCCTTCCCACTCCTCCCCCCACTCAGATTAATGATATTTATCCTGTTCTTACAATAATGTCTATATTGTATGATTTGTGATTTGAAACATTGATGACCAAGCAGGGAACCCCTCTTTGATTGGATCTCTCGTATATTTTCTAGTCCTATTATTAGCTCTTGCAATCCTGCTCGATATCACAATTACCAGAGACTGAAGAAATATCATGGTATGATTGAGATATCGAATAAAATAAACAGGGGAGGTGGGAATGAGGGTGTAAGCGAACGGAATCAGAAAAAAAGGGGTCCAAAAGTCTAATTCCACCTTGAATCGTTAACCAATGGAGATGAATCTACTGTAGTTCTTACCTAGTTTCGTAAATCTCGGGCTTCAACTTGATCCGGTTTTCCCACCAGGACTGTAGCAAACGGTTTCTGTGGATCCATAGGGCTATGGTATTGGGTTGGATCTCGACATGCCACAACTCATTGGAATGGATCTTGAAGGTGCTACCTTTTGTCAGCGAGTTTTGTTGGGACAAAGATTCACAAGATGCATGAGGTCAAGGGCCGGTGACAGGTTGAGGTGCGCAATGTCTCAATCTACAACCTATTGTGGATGCTGAATTGTCCTAAAGTTAGTTATAGTATTTTTTAAGGTAATAGAAGAGTAGTGGACCAAGCTTCTTGTACACTGCCTGTATATAAATAGGAGGTCTTCAACGTCAGTCTGAATATCAAAGAGCAGTTCGAAAATTCTCTTTTGCTCTGGCTTATTCCAATATGGTCTCCTTCACCTGGTCTCAAATTTTGGAGACGGTAAAAATCGCCTTTCCCATCACCTGCCTTGCATATTTTATCACAGTATGAGCCATCCTCAATATATCAGTGTTGGCAAACTAACCGTTCCAGCTTTTTTATCAAGCATACCTCACACCTCGTCGCAAGATTCCCGGCCCGTGGTATGCACGATTCACCAATCTTGTCCTTAAATACCATACAGTCAATGGTAATCGCATCCATTATGTTCATTCTCTCCATCAAAAATATGGTCACATAGTCATCGTCGCTCCAGACGAAATATCATGTTCTTCACTCACTTCTTTCAAAACTATCCACCGTATCTCCAAGCCTTTCCTCAAAGCTACCTGGTATCGCCACTTTACGTCTCAACTGCCAAATGTTTTCAGCATGATCAATCCCAAAGACCATGCTGCCCGTCGCAAATTGTTTGCGCATGCTTTCAGTAAGAGCTCTTTGAGAGCAAATTGGGAGAGTGAGGTTAGGAAAAAGACAAGTTTGGCGGTGAATAAAATCAAAAGAGATGCTTTGGCAGGAGAAGTGGATATTATGAGATTCTTCATGTATATGGCTACAGATGTCGTGGGGCATCTCTGTTTCGGAGAGAGTTTTAATATGTTGGAAAAGGAAGAGGTAAGTTCTTCGCCTTCTGCAGTATGCTTGATTACTCATTTCAACTCCAGAAAAATCAATATATGGAAGATCTCCAACGGGTGATGATGGTGAGCGGCATTAAAGCTGAGTTTCCGGAGCTTTTTAGCATTGGACAGAAGACAGGTCTTCCTTTTTTCAAGACTCCCAAACATCGCATAGATGACTATGCATCGTTGGCTGTCGTAAACGCAAAGTCACAGAGTCCTGCTACTCCTAATATATTCCGCAAAATACTCTCCGAAGCAAAGTCGAATAGTTTTGAAGGATTACTTTCGGATATGGATATCCAGGAGGAGGCTACAGGATTCATTATAGCCGGCACTGACACAACTACCATGACACTTACATTTCTGATATACAATATCTTGAAAAATAAAGAAGTGCAAAGACAATTGGAAGATGAGGTTAGCACTTTAGCTGATGATTTCGAATGTAAAGATGTGGAAGGATTACCGTTTTTGAATGCGGTTATTGATGAAGGATTGAGGTTATGGGGAGCAGCCTCCGGTTCTCTCCCCAGAAGTATCCCTCAAGAAGGCGCTGAAATAGATGGATACCTTCTCCCTGGATCCATGACAGTCTCTACGCAAACTTACACAATCCACCGCGATCCGGAAATCTTTCCAGAGCCTGAAAGGTATTTATCCCTGCGTTCACCCAATTCCCCTTCACATCTCACCACCTCCCTCCCACAATGCCCACTACTATTCTGAACGGTAGTCAGTCTCTATGGCCAGATTGAAAACCCCCCGAAAGACTTGAATTGTTGGACTACAGGCCGGACTAGTGAAAACAACCTACACTACACTCTTCCCACAAAAAAAAAACTTCGCTAACTCATTACCGTGTATTATAGGTTTGACCCCCAACGCTGGCTCGGTCCCAAATCAGATGATTTCAAAGCGGCATATAATCCCTTCGGTGCTGGAACACGAACATGTATTGGTATGCATTTGGCAAAGATGGAAATTTACTTGATCCTCGTCTTAATTTTCAAAGAGTGCAAAGGACTTAGAATCGCCTCGACTCAAGATGATGCGGGAATGGAGATTGAGAATTTCTTTGTGATTGGGCCTAAGGGACACAAATGTCTTGTTACGATGAGAGAAGGATATTAGAAAGTGGATCAGAAAGTATTGGGGAGGAAAGTGTTCTTGCTTTTGGTTATTATTTGAATATTTCATTCCATAGATTGTTCTCGTTAAACCTTTCCATATGCAATCTGGAATTCTGTCAAGCCGCATTGTACGATGAGAAATTTGCAAGCAAATGAAACTGGGGTAATTTATAATTCTCCGAGATGACCGATCCAGCTAGTATTAGGGAAGCCCTCCAAGCCTTCAAAATTAGCTCCGATGTACTTGTAAGAAAATTAGCTTGGACGTAGCCGCTACCTGACATGGCATACGAAATCTGCACATGGAGTACTTTTTACAGCCCTGTTCTAACTGCATCTACCTCAATCGCCTCTTCCATACCTTTCTCCCTCTTTATAAGTATTCTAGATTTTTTTTACAGCAGGCGGAATCCTCCAGGATGCAAATCATATTTCCTGACAACTCGACCCATTGCATAATGAATTTTCATTATTTCTCGAACATAAGTGGCATTTTCCAAATAACACGCATAGTCACAGATGAATTCATCACCAAGGAGCCACCAATCCAATAACACTACGTTGCAGTCTTCTTGTATGGCGTCATACCGCTGCCCAAAGTGTCTTGGTGAGGAGAAACGACCCTTGGAGCAGTGTTGGGCACCCGCATCCCACCCGGAGTTTTTAACCCCTTCCGAGTATTTATCCTACCCTGGATGCATATAGTAGGGTGGATGCCCGGAAACTCCACGGATACCGTAAAAACTCAACAAACTCGGAATCTACTTAATCGTATGAAGTGTAGTTTTAAAGTCTCGTCTTGTAAACTCAAATAAGAGAGATAATTTCGAATATCTTTAATGAATTATTATTAAATCAATAACCAATATTTCGCTTTAGAATTTAGAATGCTATTATTACTTAATAATAGAAATAAGAATTTTTTAATTCTATTTATATAGAACAAATATTAAGTTATTTCTATGCTTTGAGCATGTGAATTAATCAATAAAAATAATAAAATATCTGATTTCAATTTGTTCTACTAAAGTAATTGATAATATGATATGCCCAATGCGGTCAAGTAGATTCCGAGTTTGTTGAGTTTTTATGGTATCTGGAGTATCCGGGGTCAAGATCACATGATCTTCTAAATCTTTTTCGAACACTAGGACGACAAAAGAAAATAAAGGAAAATCCCCAAACGCCTTATTTTCAGTTTTGATTTGATTTTTGATTGTTCAAAGTTTTTTTTCTTATTTTTTTGGAAAACTTAATTGTCCCGTGTGCCTAGAAATGAAGAAAGGGAATCATAATCATAAATCTCAACCCCAAGCGATCTCAAATCCCTGGATTCTCATCAACCTTTGTATCTGCTACTCTCCTCGGCTGTGATCATGAAGTATGAAGCATTAGAGATGGTAGTGGCTCCAATCATTTGATTGAGACCGTTTGTGTAAAGAATGATTCTTGTTCTGCGCCAATTTGCGCCTTTGAAAAGGTCCATGCAAGACGTTTCGCTGCTGGCGTTGGCTTGGCACTCTTCTTCTCGAGTAACTCGGACCATGCTAGCGAGAATAGGCTCGACTGAGATGGACTAGCTGTAAAGTTTTGAAAGAGCTTTGGTGGCAGGTGATAAATTGCCTTTTTGGACAAGGGAACGGGGCGATTCAGAAATGACGAAAGCGAACAAAACGACGACTAGAGGCCAAACCCAATTTGAGGCGAAGAAAACTTTATATGAGAACTGACCCACGATTGTTACACAATAGAAAGCAACAGATGCCGCGATAAGGTATCGTAGGTCCTTCAAATGATTAGCAAATAGTCTAATGATTGAATTTGAGGGACCTTACCATGCTAAAAGCATACGCTGACAATGCTACTCCGCGAATCCTGAGAGGAGTGATTTCTGAGACATAGATTGGACCAGTAGTCAAAGCCATACCAAGTCCAATAGCATTTACCATTTTCCCTCCGAGAAAGGCTCCGGGGGTTGTGGCTATGTATATAACAGCGGTCCCGGCAATCGAGATGAGTGCAGACACACAGAACGAAACGCGACGACCGGAACGATCTGACATAGGTCCCTCTCCCCAAGCACCAAAACCTGTACATACTTGTGCCATGGCATCCCACAATGATTGCCAATAAGCAGGTATTATATGTGTGCCAGGAGATACATGTTGACCGAATTGGGCTCTGAAAAAACTGTCAATTATTGAGCTAATGAAAACTAGGAAAAAACTGACTGGAATGGCACCATGTTCAAACAAAGTGAGAGTGCAATGTTATCGAATCCGAGCGTCAGTGCCCCCATATTAGCATAGATACAACATAACACGATGGAGGGATTGTCTTTGATTGTCTGCCAAATGCTGAGGTCCGAAGCATCGAGTTGGGTTGTGGCAATAGTTTCCACACGTTCGAGATGCTATGCTGACAATTTGACATCGTCATCTGTGGCCTTGCCGTCCACAGCGGGTGAATTTGTTGTTGCCATCGTGCTGCTCAGTTTGAAAGTAGTGCGAGTCGTCAACAAATGACGAGATTTCGATTGAAAACAGAAGGGGGAAGATTAGCTCTATTTTAAGTCAAAGCAAAGCGCTTGTTGAGAGTGGAGTGGGGTAAAGTGTGGAGAGAGTGTGGAGTGCAGCAGGATGAAGCCGTTGGTATGGAGAAGATTTTTGGTGGCTGACCTGAAGAAGTCATTGCGTTGGATGTGTGGGGATTAGGGTACGACTCCCCTGAGCCGCCTTGTCACTTTCCTCAACAGGGTGATATCCATGACGCGGCCAACGTTAGCGAAAAGCGTGACGGTATTTGCTAGTGCCTTCTTGGAAAGATATGGGTTGGAGTCATGTCTTCTTGAAGGAAGCGGACGACACTTGTCCCTAACTCTCTCATAAACACTCCTTCAACGAGGTGACAGGCTACGTGTTCTATAAGTGATATTAGGCTTCGCAATGTTGCTATTGTCAGTGGCAAAATCACTGACGAAGATCTCCCTCAGATCCTTATTTTCGTGACGGCATATCTTATGGGGATTAAGGATACCCAGCGGCAGCCAGACTAACTCTCGGGGTAAGTACTAGGGAGATGTGGGGATGTGGTTGTTTCGTCCATACAAGCACGAGCACTATAAGCGTCCATGGTCCATCTAAGCAAGCTAAGTCGGGTACTCTACTTTCGGGCCACCCCCCTTTTGAGCCACTTTTTACACCAAAAATGGAATTTTTAACTTTCTTATTTATAAATAGAATTTATTGAAAATTTATATATATATAATTTAGATCATTTTTAGTTTACCTTAAAAATTTCAGATTTTTAGGAATTTTCTGTATTAAGATCTAAAACTTTAAAATATTGATTCTTAAATTTATATAAAAATTCATATATAAATTTAAAACTTTTATAAAATCTTTAATAACTTTTTAATAAAAATTATTAAAAATAAACTATAAAATTTTATTATAAATTTATAAAATATTTATTTTAAAGGATTCAAAAAAAAAATTCCTATAAATAAATACTTAAAAAAATACCCTCAAAATTATAAGGATTATTTATATTATTCTAAACTCATTATATACTATATTTCTATATCTATTATTATTTTTTTAATTTTTTTTTATTTTTATATATAAATTTAAATTCAAAACTTTCAAAAAGATATATAATTTTCTTTTAATAATTATTATTAAAAAGTTATTAAAGATTTTATAAAAGTTTCAAATTTGTATATAATTCTTATACAAATTTAAAAATCGATATTTTAAAACTCTAAACCTTAATACAGAAAATTCCTAAAATTTTCAAATTTTCAAAATAAGCTTAAAATAACTTAAATTATATATATTCAAATTTTTATTATATTAGATTATATATTAATAAAGATATTAATAGATTAAAAAAGCGATTTTTGATATAAAAAGGTGGCCCAAAATAAAGGTGGCCTGAAAGTAGGGTGGTCGATTTATTAGCTTTTTTAAGTCGTCCACTCTTCCGCTCTTCCACTCCTTCCACCTTCTCTCCACATGGGGTAGTGGACGGTATGGGGTATACTACGCCTGTAAACGAATCTTCAACCGGACTAAAGCTTCATGAAGAAAAGCAATCTAAATCCTGGACTACCTCAAAGAATACTTGGTAACCATGAGCTGCCATTCTTCCTTTCAATTGAGCTATACTTTCTACCACTCAAGATTTCACCATGATCTCCTCTCCGTTTCTCACTGACGAAGCACAACGAATTTGGGTGTCAGGGTTTGATGATACGATTGATCCTGGCCAATTTGTTCTATTTCGAAAGTCATTCACTCTGGAGAAGCTTCCCACTAAAGAAACTGTCCTTCATGTTTCTGCAGATACTCAGTATCGTTCGTTATTGAACGGCAAACGAATCAGTTTTGGGCCTTGCAAAAGTTATCCAACAAGATGGTATTACGAGACCGTGGATATCACTCCATTCTTGCAGCCTGGTAGAATGTGTTCAGCGCAAAAGTCTTAAGGTTTTCCGTAACAACTGCGGCCGGCACATCGATGGCCAGGACTTCTTTACCAGGACTCATTCTCTGGTGTCAGATAGGGGTGAGTAGATTCTGAGGTGGCGATCTACAAAATCAATCAGCTAAATTGTATGAGCAGGAGCAAAAGCTTCATACCGATGCAACTTGGAAAGCATCTAAAGTCCAAGGAATACCACTCCTACCATCTTCAAAATGGGATTTCCGAATGGGTCCTTCTTTTCTGAATCTCAATGAAGAGGCCCACGCGGACAATAGTTTCTTGGGATGGTATGAAGTCGAGTTTGATGATGCATTTTAGAAGAATGCCGAAATAAAGACCATGAATAAAAAGATGTCACCGATGCTGGATGCCAGAAAACTCATGCCTCGGCCAATACCCCATCTTCCTAAAATATCTCGACGATTCGACAATGCAGTAACATGATCTGGAAATTCGAGCTTAAACGAATAGAAAATACTACTACATAAAGATAAATCTATCATCTTAGAGGCTGGTATAAATATAGTTGTCGAAATTGAATCGAATGGTTTGACTACTGGATTCCTTGAATATAGCTTCGAGATTGATGGCTATTCAACTCTTGCACCCAAGATCGAGATTCTCTGTGCTGAATCGTACAAAAATCACATGGATGGTGGCCAGCCAAGGTCGAAAGACGATCGTACGAATTTCAAGACTAGAAAATTATATAGACCAATTGATACATACATCTGTCATGCGAACCAGAAAAAATAATATTACGAACCTTTCTGGTGGCGCACATTCCGATATATTCGGATATCTGTAGCTTGTCCTCCACATACCTCACTTATGTATGACTTCATCACATATCGTTCCACTCAATATTCTCTACCTATCACTACTACTTTAAGTAGTACCCCTCTTGTGGAAAAGCTCCACTCGACATCAGTTAATACTCTCCTCAATTGTATGCATGAAACCCATGAGGACTGTCCGTACTATGAACACAATCAATTCACCATGGACACTCGCTCTCAACTTCTATTCTCGTACACGATTTCTCACTCGGACCTCCTGGCCCGGATATCAGTTCACGAGTTCTTTGCATCTCGCAGAGATGACGGATTATTGGAAACGCACTTTCCACATCCTAGCCGCTCCATGAACATACCTCAGATCTCTTTGTACTGGATATTTATGATTGAAGATCATTCGTTACACTTCCAAGATATCACGTTCATCAAAAAGTATTTGGGTACTGTTAATGGAATCTTGGATCATTCCAGTGATCGTGTGAATGAGCTCGGCCTTGTGGGATAATTTATTGCAGAGGGTACGTGGGCCTTTGTTTATTCCAGGACGAGGATTTTCTAGTGTGGGCGTTCCCAAAGCATATTTTGACAAAGGAGCTGCAACTATCAACAGCTTAGTTTATGCAATAGCTTTGAGATCTGCCGCAGTTTTATGTGAAGCCGTTGGCAGGAAGGACACTGCAAATGAATACTTTGATAGAGCTAGTGCTATCATTCGGTCCGTCAATGAACATTGCTATGATAACAAGAAGAGTCTGTATCTCGATGGACCCGGCGCTATTGGAGAGAGTTCACAACATGTCCAAATTTTTGCAGTACTTGCTGATGCTATAAGCGGAGAGTCAGCCAAAGATCTAATGAGAGAGACTATTTACGAAAGAGAAGCATTGACAAAGGCATCATTCGCAACTTCCTTCTATATGTTCCGAGCTGTTGCTAAAGCAGGAATTTATGAAGAAGTTTGGGAGGAGTTGCTAGGCCCATGGAAGAAGATGTTTGACCAGAATCTGACCACTTGGGCAGAAAATGAAAGTATGGTCAGAAGTGATTGCCATGGATGGAGTGCAACTCCAATGTACGAGATTGTCAGGGAAATCGTTGGCATTCAATATCCAACCACAGAAGATAGCGACGGATGTCTAACAACGGTTATTAAACCTAGATGTCCTAGATGTGATTTGGTAGAGCAAATGAGAGGGACATTTGTGGTTGCAGGAGGTGGAAGTGAAGATGTTTCCTGGGACGATTCCGGAACAATCAGAATTCTTGGTTCGAGTGATACGCGGGTTCAGCTGGTATTAAAAAGAGTCACTCATGGTATCAAACTTCTAGAAGGCGTGGAGCAATCTTTCAAGCTACAAAAATAGAGTATAGAGAGCATAATAGAGAGTTTCTAACCATGACCGGCCATCGTTTCCATAAAATCAGTAATGATGATTCGCTTTTAGGAGATTTTCCTACCCCATAGTACTGGCTGGTATGAAACACAATGACATATACTATATGTATCATTTAGTCGAGACCAGCAGAACAATTTGCGGAATATGTATCAATATTGTTTATCGTCCACACTCTTTCGAACTTTTGGCGTAGAGTTCAACGTCATATTCAGATGCGGTTTGTAAGTGGCGATAAAATCAGCGAAAGTGATACATTACAACAGGTTATTCCCTCAGTGATGGTGAATTGTTGGAATATATTCCATTCAGCCGTACAAAAGACAATCATCTCACTGAGTTCCTTTCTTTGAATGTTATTACGATAGTGTATTGAAACATTCTCTGCCGTATTGAGACCTCGTCTTAGCTATAAAATTCTGGTGTCCCTCATAATTAAGACCTTCATATTGATTCTTCAACCCTTGACTTCCTCTTCAAAGTATTTGAGACAAAAATTTCCGCAGCATAAACGAACAAAACCTCGAGCGGAAAGAAGAAATAAAACTTGTTTCATAGTCCATCTACAATCGAAACTAAGAACCTCGTCACACAACACAAAGAACTAATCACCAATCATGAATCAAGCAGCACGTGCCTTGAATGAGACATCACAAAGCCTTAACTTCAACAAGAAACTTCCTCCTTTGGAACCCTATGAAGGTCTAGATACAACTCCACAACTTGAGTACAAAGATCAAATTGCCTGGATTGCTGTTCGTATACTTCCTCACTCATTCCCATGCCAGGACTATCTCTCCCGTCAACCTTGGAATATTTTTCTACCCTTCAATGCGAACTTACAAGCTGATCTCAATATTACAGAGCCACGCAAATAATCACGCTCCCTCTGCTATCGTTCTCGCCCAAGCAAAGTCAAGCACATGGCAACAAATGCTCGCGAGTCTCGAGGCAATCAATAGAGTTCGTCATCCAAATGTTAGAGAGGCTTACATTAAGTGGAGAAGTCAAGATATGCTTGTCAAACGTCTCTGGGAGAATGCAAAATTCCCTGGTGTAGATCCAGATCCGGTCTATGTGAGTGCTTTTCGGGTGAGAGCTTAGAGATAAATAGGGTGAAGCTAACATATGATAGACACAAATCCGAAGAAAATACTGCACAGCTGTCAAGAAGTTAATCAATGAAAAGGCGGAACAAGGAGAGGATGATACTGCTGCTCTTGTAAGTCTGGTCCATACATATATACATTCATAAATACTTCTCTTACTAGATGAAATTACTGACATATCCAAGATCTATCTTAACGAAACTTACAACAAGAAACTCATGTTAGCACGCAGATTTGAGGTTAGTAATGAGAGCTTCTCTGACCGCATTCGTACTATCAAGGTTAAGAAAGCTAAGGAGACGCAGGAAGCTAAAGAAGCCGAGAAGAGAATCAAAGAGATCGAGGCGGAAGAAGAGAGAGAAGAGATGATGGAGCAGGGTGGAGATGATGAATTTGTGGTTTTGGAGATGGAGCATGCGGACGATGAGGATTTCGAATGGGAGGGTGATGATTGGGATATGTCGTGAGCAGATTTCAGAAAGGGTTGAGAGATAAGTAGTTGCCGGAGGCTGTGGGAGAGAACATTACTATCTAGGTCATCTGGCAGATTGTGGTGGGGTGCGCGTCAGGTTTATGATACATTTTTAGTTCGTGCTTTGGGTGAGTAGTCTGATATGAACCCCAAGTAGAATATTACACTCTACTTTATGTATTTATGTATCTTCATGGATATGGATGTTAGATGAAACCGCTCTACCCTTGAAGGGACATGAAACTTTACGTTAAATATAACCTTATTGAGAGTAATAATCAGGTGATATCATAATCGCGTTGTTTCCTGCTGTACCAATATCTCATGACTTGTTGGTTTTATGATTACACATTTAAAACAACCAAGTTTTCTATATTATGAAACCCTGATCTTTCTATGTTACTGTGTCCTTATCACTCCAGTTATTCATTGAACTTCATATTGCATCTGATACTATCCGTGTTTTATTGAACATAAACATAAATGAGTATCTGGCACTTGTCCAGTCTGCCAGTCCGGTCTGTCGGACCTCCTGCCAGGATTTCATCTGGTTTGTTCTTTCGGTCAAGATACATTTAAAATGCAAAGATTCAAAGAACGAGGCCTTCAATTTCCAGGCAAAATGATATATTGCGTTGGTTCCTTCCGTGAGTTCCTTCCCCCATTCTGTCTCGTCAAATTTATACCAGGCCAGAATGGGGCACCTTACTGTGAGTACCACAACAATCAAGGGAAAATCCCATAGACCTTCCAACGATATGCAAGATTTAAATGCCTATGGCCGTACAATACATCAGACCAATAGAATATCAGGACTGATGCTAATAACCAATAGCCTCCTACTCTCGAGATACCATGTGAAACGTTGGATCGAATCGTGCAGCATTAATAAATTTTGAACCATTCAGAAACCGAGTTTCTGGGGCGACACTAGTCTACCTCTGGGCCGTATCTGCGTAGAATAATAGTTATGTCAAGTTCCAGAAGTACTTCTTTTTAACATTAACATCTTCTGTGGTATCTTCCTCGCAATATTTACAACAAGTTCTTCAATACATTTAGCTTCTCTATTGCACATTCAAACCTAACTGAGGAACCTTAGCATTTATTCATCTGTCAGCTTTTGATCATCTAAAGATCGCTCACTACAAGAACATCGAGAAATAAGATTATCAAAATGGATCTCCCCGAATTTGAACCAAAATTCATCAAGCTTCAAAACAAGCATCCCCGTGAAAGCGACGATTATCATTCCTCGATGTTTTGGGAGATGGCTATTCCCAGACTTGCTCGTCACAAGATGTTGGGCCAGGACCAAAAGAGTGTCACAGACAGATATAATGTAAAGTGTGAAGAATACTATGGAGATACGGTCAACAATAATTACTTTATGTATTGCTGGGATAAGACCACCTCGAACTATTCTTGTAAGTGGAAGTGTAAACTTTAACGACTTTAGCTACAGTTACCAACGAAGTGTGATTTTTTTAGTTCCTGGGGAGAATTTTGTCGGATCAGATCCTGATCCAGTTTATGTAGGTTCATCGCGCTACTTCTTTGGAATTTGGAAGCTAATTTTATCGTTCTAGTCCGAAGTCTTCGCGCAGTACTTCAATGAGCAGGCGCAGGTTAGAGACGAGATGAACAAATGTGGCGTTCATGTAGCTGAACAAGTTGTATGTATCTTCCAGCCTTGAAACTCAGTGCGAGATAATAATTTCAATTCTACAGGACGTCTTGATGAGCCTTAGCAAGGTTTATAACAATCAACTTCAACTTGCACGCAGACCTCTGAAGAATCTGCCCAGCAGGGCTGCAGCCAGTATTAACCGCGCAGGTAGTCAGAGTGGCGTTCCAAAGCCGAACTCCCAAGACCGTTTTCCTGAGTGGATTCCCGCGGAGGATTATGATGCCGAGTCTCCTAAGGTGAAGAGACGCATGGAAAAGGCTGTTACCAAAGTTTTGAGTGAGCAGGTAGACAGAGATTGGGTTATGGTCAAGGACAATCGGGATGATGATTGGGTTGTGGTGGAGAGAGAAGCAAGATGATCACTGAGTCTTGGTTCGAACTGAAGTTCCAGTTTGTCTTTTTGGGTTGTGTTTATTACAAGACCATTCGTTGTAGATGTAATATAATAAGTCATTCTTGTCAAATTTATAAACTTCTTCAGTAGAAATATACACATGGCATATTAATGAGCAAAATATTTCAATAAAAAAACTTATTACTAGTAAAGTAAATATGTACTTTTCGTTTCTATGAAGGTCGATGAGTTGAAGCCAAAAATTATCAGCTTGCAAGCTAGACGGAAATGATCGATTGGAATACCATTCAAGTTGTCAAAGAAAGGGAAGAAGAAAAAATTCACATCTCTGAATGGTAACATTTACACAAGAATTTAGGGTGTTGAATACCTATTGTGACTATTAATTTTCCACATCTATGTCAGATCAAAGAACTTGCACTCCCTCAAAAATTCAATTGGATCCTGCTAAGTAGAGTAAGCCATTGGATCACTCACTGTAGTATTCGTCTTAGTGTATAAGCTTCGAGGTTCTCAAGATAGTTCGCTATGCTTTATATCAAAGATTGCCTAATTCACATGGCAACTATATAGTAATCCATTTCATTGACAGACCAAAAAACTGCCTAATAACTGCCTAATAACTGTTAGTTATTTGAATTATTGCTAGCGGATACTTCTTTTATTGAATACAACATGGGTACCAGATGAGCTAAGCCACACTAGGTACCTAGTTTCAATTTCAACTTCGCCTGTTCTCGGTTGCAAGAGAAGCTGCTGTAGTTTGTAGGGCTTGAGGTATTCAGGTTTCCTCATCTCTTCAGAGACTCAGACCACAACCTGCTACAAATGTTTCTGTGGAGATCCGCGCTAAACTTAATATAAATCTTAGGAAATAAAAGCTTTGATTATTCCCAAAGACTATGTATTAGGAAAGGTGTGAAAACTTTAATTTAATAAGCTAATGAAATCGCTTCTGGGATATATATATATAAATTTTGATATATCCATGTTACATTATTCCTATTTAGATTAGTTATTGATATATATAACTATTATATTTATATAAACGTATTATGTAAGGACATTTATAACAGTTTGCTGTAAGAGTTGCTTCGCTTGTTGGAAAGCGACGATTAGACTAAGAATGACTCGAGGTATTTGTTTCATCATAAAGTTTTCTTCTCAGACTTTAACAAACTCCAATACTTTCTTGCAAGACTCTCAACGATCCCAACACTTAATACCCAAGACGTTTTCCTCTACACAACACAACATTATATCATGACTCCTTCCAGAAGATGGAGACATTTGGTCTCGCAAATACCAATGGAAGTGCTTGGTGATTCCGAAGATGAAATCCAGGAATCTCAATCCTTGCTTGAAGGATTAGCAATCGAAATCGAGAATGTCGACAATGCATTCGATAACAGGGATTCTGAGCTCCGACAGCTCCTTGTCACTTTCCACCGATACGACCACCAACGCGACCAACAACTATGAGTCGACAGAGCAAGTTGAAATTGCAGCTAGTAACATCGCCGAGAAAGAAGTTGTTCAAGGCGATACCATAGGAGATTTCATCGACTAATTCGTCATTGAAGTCTTCCATGAAGATGTCGTCCAGGAGGATACCACCGATGAGAAAGCCGCGAAGAAACCCGAATTCGAAGATACTTTTGTAAAATGGGCTATCGAGAAAGACGTCATTGGCGAAAATAACAGCGAGGAAGATACCGTTCACATTCAGATGAATCTCCTCTTACGGGATATCAACATGGAGGATGACGCCAAGAGGAACAACACTGAGGAAGCTGACATCGCAGAAACTACCACCGGAATCGTTATGGACAATTCTAGTGATTCGGACCCTGATCAGGAATTCGAGGACTCTGGAGCTTATTACCATATCAGATTGAAGATAGATGGTGGCGCCATCGACGAAGAGGTTGTTAAGGTTGAGAGCGAAGACGACGATGATGGCCAGTTTCTAGCTTAGTTTCAAATAAATGGTTGAGATATCCCCGGAAACATATTTCTTCTGTCGTGGAACATCAAATATCATTCTATGATGTATCAAGTGACAAGCTTGCAGTGGCTGTGGTGATCATGCTTCTTTGATTGCGCTCAAAGTCATCAAAGATAATGTCTACTATAACAAGGACACATAATGGGTATAATCAAGATCAAAACTTTACACACTTGTAATGTGAATGGATCTTTTCTTTGACTTTCTCCTATGATTACACGCATTAGATATCACTCATGAAATATGTAGGGGGGCAAAAAGTGTGCAAACAATAAATGCGAAGGATACCATGAGCCCGAGATAGTTTCGGATGCTTTGTTTGATTGTCTGACTGTTATATTCTCACATTAAGGATTGTAATACTCATCTCTATCGATGAGCTCTACAAGTCACTAGCAGGACAAACTGAGCAATAGCCACAAAACAGATTATTCTAAATCTAAAGTACATATGAAATAAGCTCACTAGTATTTATATTCACTACATCTGCGACGTAATTTGCAATGCAGCTATCTTATGTGCCGCTAACATATCCATATCATAATCAGTCACTATAGCCTATTTCCAAACAAAGAGTTGTAGAGAGATGATTGAAGTTGGGATCTTTTATAATACTACCACCTATGGGCGTAGTATATTGAATGTTTTTTAATGAATTCTACGGTACCTATTTAATTACTATTGATAGAAATACGTGCTAATGATATTCACGCCAAACTTCACGGCAAACTCCACGCTAGCTTCATACGGCATCTTTGCACAGCCCAACTCTTCCGAGATTAAAATAAAACTTTCCCTACAACTCGAGACTGTTTATCTTCCTTCATGTTTAACAAACAAGTACACAACTCGAACATCCAGAATCCGAAAGTCAACCTGATTATGACAACGATTCCACAATCCATCATGTCAACTATATCACCATCCAATGTGACAACCATTTCACCATTCATCATGTCAACCATTCCACCATCTGACTCGACAGTAGCTCAAGACTACACAGAATCACCATCCCCATCAAACAAACAATCTGGCAAGACAATCATGTCAAATGCCGACTTCGTGAAATTGTTGTCCAGAGAAACTTACAACGCCAGGAAGATGGAACGACAACATCAAGGTCGCAAGGCCATGGATATGAATCAAAATCAATCGTTTAAGTTCCAGGACAATTCATCTGGATGCAACAAAGATCATATGCTCAATCCACCCCATGATGAGACTCAGAATGGTACAAAGGAGAGCACCATCAACAAAATGAGAGAAACGAAGCAACAAAGTAGATTTTCAAGAAAGTACAACAATGACATCCCTAATCTTGAGAGCGTTTTTCAATCTCACGTCTCATCTACTGTTGGATTATATTCTCAAGTTGAACATAAGGCAGTTCACCGAAGACCACATGTCGATGACCAGGCGGGATCACAGAAGGTTCAACAACAAGAGACCAACACGGCATCAACTAGTGCTCCTTGGATTCCCGATGCAGTTCTTACAAAGAGATCAGTTGAGAAGCATCAGGAGAAAGAGTATCAATCTGCTATGGCACCAAAAGCAACAAAAGATCGCCATCTTGCAAGAAGAAATGCCCGATCTGCAAAGTTCAGATCACTAGAAGCTCAAATCGTTACCAGAAAGAAGCTCGAGCCAGAAGATTCTGATATTGAGAGCGACAAAGACCAACAATTCAAAACCTTCGTCAAAAACTCCACACCACCACTCAGTGAGATCAAAGCCAGTTTCCAGTTGACAAGAGACAGAGTTACTACTGCAATCAAGCAGAGTCAGGTTGCCAGAGCAGAGGCAACAAAGGTCATTATGCAGAGTAAGGTTGTCAGAGCTAGGATCGAAAAGGCTCTTGTAGAGAGACTTGCTGCGAAATTTCAGGCAGAGAGTACCGAGAGAGGTGGACTACCTGAAGAAACAAATACAAAGATTGTGATTGCTTCTTCGGTTGATGGCTCTGTTGAGGACCTTCTGGAAATCGACACAAAGAATAACAAAGAGAATGCAAAAGAAGTGGTTCAAGAAGCTGTTCAGTCTGCCGAACAAGCTGTCCAGACGGCTGTCCAATCCCAAGACAGATCAGTCCAACTCTATGCTGTTTCTCCCCAGACTCCCAACAGTCCTATCAACAGTCCTACCAATACGATGGAAAGCAATGCGAAGCATGCTGATGGTAAGGCCGCCACCAAAGGATCCAAGATTACAGGGTCTATGGATGAATACAAGATTGAGTTTGTGACAGAGGATGAGGATGATGCCGAGAAGGATGATGCCAAGAACGTGGATGCGGAAGATGATTGGGTTACGGTTATGGACTACGATGAGGATCAGGATGAGGTTGAAGAAGATGGTTGGCTCCTTGCATGATCAACCATCGTCTTTCACTGGGAGGTTATCAGTTGGTAGAACTCTCGAATGGTGGTGATCTGGCTTGATACAGAGTACAAGTAGCCTGGGCAGTGGCATACCATGCAGTCACTTCGCAAATATTTAGGGAGCTAGCTCTTGCAATTACCAATTTTTGTAAACAATGGAGATCTGAAATACTGATGTGATGTATGATTTCCTTCTATCCACATAGCTTACGTCCCGAACTACCATGAATGAGGCGCAAACATAAAATATCTTTGTAGCCCGATGTCTCTTTACACTCTCATGGCGGGGTAATGCGGGGTAGTGATCTCGACTGCTATTGGCTCTTTGGAAGTATTCTTCCTCCCCTTTTTGTACTCTTGACAAGTTTTAGTGGATAAAAGCCGGATAATTATCAATTAGCAAAGTACTTCACGATGCTACTTCACTTCCTAGCTCTGAATAAATCGAAATATTCGATCAAAAGTTAATACAAAATTTACTCACCGCCCACATGCCGAATCCCCCTTCCTACCCACCAAAAACTCATACTGCATAAAGTATAAATGCCATACACATCACCAATCACCCCCCTTGATCCCCACAAAAACTTGACCACCAGTGTGATGAGAAAAAATTCTCAAAAATTCTCAAAAATTCCAGATCCATCCATCGAAGCACGCCAGAAGAAAACTTCAGCGTGCATTGCATGTGAATGCCAAGGAGTGGAGATAGCTGTCATGTTCAGCCCGCGTGGAGACTTTTTAGCCCAAGGAAGATTACTCCAAGGGCGGGACGAAACAAGACGCTTCGTCCCGCAGGCAATCTATTCTCCTTTGCTAAGGAACAGGCTGACCGGACTGGTGGGACGTGACAGCGGAGTCATTCTGCTGTGGATTATTTGATGCATGGGCGAGAGCGACTGGATCTTGGCGGTGCCTAGACCACCCAAGAAAGGAGTGAAACAAAAAGACGCTTCAGTCTAAATTATTCAAAGAAGCAAGCGAATCAAGGAGCGCCAGAAGGCACCGAGTCTTGCGACTCATTTAGAAGATGGAGTTGCTAGCTACTGTAGTATAGAATGCCCAAATTGAACTCTGATACCCCTTCTATTATTCCCATATCCGTTCGGTTCAGTTGCCCTTGTTGCCTCGTGACAAACCATATTGCATGTGCCATCTACCATTTTGACGCAATCTTTTATCGGAACCCCTGATACCTGTTACCCCAAAGGAAAATCATCATCATCATGTCATAAAACTCCAAAGACACCCAAAGGATGGAAAAAACATCCACAGAAACTCCATCCTCTTTTCCAACACTTGGTATGAAGATCCACCCTCCCTATTCACTCCGAGTCTCTCCTCTCACTCATCTGCTTAGCCCTTCTTCTGGCCTCAATAAATTTATTCAAGTGTTCTCCGATAGGACCATAAGCCTCGACTGGATACCAACATTTTCCCTCATCATCCCACGTCGTGACAATAATACTAACTTCCGATTCTTGTTGTTGAACTTGACGGACGGGAGCTCGTTCTCGTGCGTTACGGTTTGAGACAGCCATAGGAATCCGAAGTGATGAGGACGAAGATGCTTGTCGTGGTCGAGAAGAGGCGTAGTTCGGGTAAGGGGTTGAGTTGAGCATTCGCTTATTGGAGAAGGCGTGGGCGTTGCGGGGTGGTGAGATCTGCATGGTGATGACTGTTCTGACTGTTCTGAATGTTTTGATATTTATGAAATGGAATCAAGAAAGATTAAATTGTAAAGATATGAATGGAAGGAATTAAAGTCGTTAATTGGCAGATCTGGTCGACGACGTTGGAAGGCTGAAGACTGGAATGAACATTAATATGTGTAGCAATGTAACGGTGTAGAAAAAAGTGCTTTCGTTATGATCAACTTCTGGTCGAACTTGAGTATTTATCTGACGAAGCGGTAGTGAAAAGAGTATGAAGTTCAACGCCCATTGCAGTGCTTGATATGGTGTAACAAATTGTATGTTTCTTTTTGTCAAAAAGCAAGAGCGAATGAATGGGTGGGAAAATGTCTCAATATATAGAATGTTTAGGTTGTGGATGAAATTGAAATGCCTCATAGATTTGATCACGCAGGTCCATCGAACTTTAGCGGAATGTGAAAAGACGCCAACAAAAATTGGGCACTTGTGGATGGCTTGTGTATTGGGCTAGCACTAAACATGGTAGGTAAATAGCCCGGGCAAGGCTTTAAAAAATTCTAAAAGGGTAATGGCAATCTATCTCGCCTGTATACGCCTGTAAAAACCTTACCGCAACTTTACCAAGCATATCAAAATTGGTCGAATTAGTTGAGACCAAAACCCAATCAATCTACAAGTCAATATAAGTATTAGCTGAAAGGAGTAGTTGGGTTCGGTATTTCCTCGATATTTTTGGGTGCTTGGGCAATGGTGGTATGGAAGGTCCGTTCATATGCTCCGTGATAATAAAGGGGCTCGGATTGGGTAGCCACCTCACCGCCAGATAAGCTTTGGTGGAACTGTGATTGTCGCTATCTTGATACTTGAAGTATTTCAGATACGGTGTACAAGAAGTATCGTCGACTTTCTTGAAACTTGGTATTGTTCCTGCAGGTTTCCCATTTGAGAGTCTCCATAGAAACCATCTAATTCCTGATTGGACTCATCATATAGTTAATTTGATAATGATGATGCTGGGACTTGGGGGATCACGCATGGTGTACTTGTATATTGGACTTGGCTATTGTATAGCAATAAGCTGTGAGTGGACTCGTGGACTAATGTTTGACTCGTGGTTGGTGGAGTTCCCGCTCTTCTAAACGAGTGATAATGGACTTCGATGACTTTGATGAGGGGACCCCATGTGATTTGACCCATCTCATGATCTTCAACCGATCAAAACCGAATTATAAATGGACCCTATAGGTGATGATTGATATCACGTGAGGTATCGAGATGTTCTGGAACAATGTTTTAGTGTTCTCATCGAGATTTACTCCTCATTTTAGTTGCGTAGGGTTACGTACTAAAAAGAACACGCCGAGTAAAAGTTTGTTTGGTGGTAGAAGATACAAACGATCACAAGCTCTGGAATAGCTATGGTGTAATATACGTTGCATAACACTGTTGTATAACCTGCATTCGTCTTCGATTCTGGTTATAAGCTAATTGTGAGCATGTGAAGCAACAGCAACTCAATCGACATTTGACAGGCACTTTTTTGGAAATAATGTGTTTCCTTTGTTTAAAAAAAGAGTCAATAGTGTTTCTCAGACAATGCTGAAACCTTTGGTAATCGATCTTCGAATCCGAAATTCTATGTTGGGAAGACCAATGTTCCCGCAAAACATGCACAATTGGTTTCATTGCTATCATTTCCGAATGAAGTCGTGCATCAACATGACTAGACCTTTTACAGTCACGTCAGCCACATTGAAAATAAAGTAACTAGGTGCCCAGGTGTGCTTCGATGTTCTGTGCCAACCTCTTAGCACAGCGCATCATGTGGCTTGATATTACTTGATAAAAACTACCTGCAATACACTATTGCTCGGGAACTCGTACCCCACGATCACTAATAGCCTAGTTTCACCGACGTTGGATTGAGTTACCACTGTGAGTTAATGTTCTGAGGTTTTTATACCGGATAATGGATTGTTTGCTTCGAACCGAATCCTAATTAGCCACTTATGTCGTGTTGCTCCAAACAAGAATTTGTCAATCTTCGATATTTCCATCGAAATCATGTAATTTGACCTCATTGCTCGGGACATATACTAAGAGCCTGTTTAATTCAACACATCCTTTCCCTTGGTCCTCTTCTGGAGGTAATCCAGGTATTCCAAGTCGCAGCTGCGCTTCATAAGGGCCGGTGGAAACATTGGCATACGTGTTTCTCTAGCAGCACTGAAGCTTTGGTTTGACTTGGACCCTGATGAAAGTTCATCGCACGGATCCTGTGTTATTTGCGGGGGTGGAATTTCTATTTCGATCGTATCCTCGCTTGACAATGGTGATTAGTATTCTAATTAGACATCAAAGTTTTGACATCTAGCTCTTGACATCTAGCTTCTGTCGCGCTGGCACTCGCCGAACTTGGCAAGTGTAGGAGAGTTTTCGGGTAAAACTTAGGTTTCTTATCCTCATTTTGGCTATTTCTGCTGTTCGCCCAAGAGATTCTTGGCCGGAACAGAATTGCCGAGTTTTATTAAAGATATAGCAGCGATTAAGATATGCAGCAAGACTACTACTCCAACGCGGTCTCTGAGTGTGGAAGATTACTGCTTCCAAGTCATCTACATTGCTTTGGGATAATTCCCCTGGGCTGATGCAGTCCACGTTATCACATCATCCCTCTACGGTTTCTCCTAGAATGCCTTAAGAAGTAGACGATCTTGCCACTAGAACTAGTTCCAAGGTTGCAGACGCCCAATACCCACATTGTCCCCAATTCTTTCTATCTTCTTATTTGGTCGTACATTTTCCACCTCTACGCATTTTACTTCGCGAATGTAACTTGGAGCACAAGCGATCCTCAATCTACGCGCGGGTAAGACGGCCAACGCCTGCTTCGGTGCAGACAGCTTCTGCAAAGTCCTCGAAGATATCTGGCAAACACTAGATTTGGTCAGGACGGGGCTCGAGGTAGCCAAACCTGATATGATCGATGTCGAGGATTGAAGTGATTTTAAGCTTGGGATCCTCACTAAGGACCTAAATCAGCCAATGCTAGTAAAACAAAATGAAAGGGTTGGATTTGCTGCATGGCGAGAGGTAGTACACATACATGAAAGAGCATTTGCAAATTCGAAATGACCATTATTTCTCGCGGTAAGAATGAATGCATCTGAGTTTGAAAACACGTCGCGTGGACCCGGCTTCGATTTTTTAAGTTTGGGTATGATTGATTTAAGCTTTCATTGACACACCAATAGTGTTGTGCTGTGAAATTACATCCTGCCACTGTTTTTCTTCGGCAGGAGCTTCCCCAGATCGCCCCTTATTTGGATCATAAAGT